ACTCTTCAGGGTCTTCTGGAGATGACGCGGTGTCACAACTCTTCAGGGTCGTCCAGGTCATCTGGAGATGATGCAGTGTTACAACTCTTCAGGCTCTTCAGGGTTGTCTGGATACAAAGCGGTGTCAGCTCTTCAGGGGCTTCAGGGTCTTCAGGGTCGTCTGGAGATGATGCAGTGTTACAACTCTTCAGGGTCTTCAGGGTCATCTCGAGAAGATGCAGTGTCACAACTCTTCAGGGTCGTCAGGGTCGTCTGGAGATGATGCGGTGTCAGTTCTTCAGGGTCTTCAGGGTCATCTGGAGACAATGAGATGTCACAGCTCTTCAGAATCTTCAGGGTCGTCTGGAGACAATGCGGTGTCACAACTCTTCAGGGTCTTCAGGGTCTTCTGGCGACTGTGGGCCAGGGATCGTGGTTATATACATGTTGGTGGGCCATGATTGGTTGTAAAAGGTGGGTTATGATTGGTTGTAAAAGATGGGTTATGATTGGTTGCTTGGTGGACCAATCATGAGGTGCTGGATATGCAAATCTGAGGGATTCTAGTGGCCAATCAGAGTATGGTTTTGAAGGTGAAGTTTTGAAGGGAAACCAATTATGGCTTTTGGCATTGTGTAATTGTTTGCTCTCTGAGAAACCAGCGATATTCACTGGTGTGCAGCCTCCCACAGTTGGCCTTAAAGTTTTTACACTGTGTAATTAACAGAGCCAAAAATTAGTATCTATACTCCCTTTCAGAAAGATGGGTAGAACTAGAACTTTAACTTTCAAGTAACTCCAAATATGCTTCATGCTTTAGTTGTCTAGTATTCATATTTTAGCTTTGTTCTTTTCTTTAACACTACTAATTATCAATAACATCATTGTCATTATTACTATTTATGTAAATAATTTTTTAATGTTCACCTGTAATTTTAAGTTTCTTTGTTCATAATTCCTTCTTGTGTGTCTCAGACCTCCTTTATGGGGCTGCTTTCCTTCTTCCAGAAAAGTTTTTTTTTTCTTTTTTAAGTTTTTTTGCCATAGGTGCACTCACCAGAGAAAGATAGAAAGAGGGAATGTGAGGAATCATCCTCCAAAGGGGATGGCCACTATCCTTTCTCGACCAGTCTCCTTTTAGGATTTTGGGCACATATGCATAGATGCATGGTATAATTTTTAAGTTGCTGGGTCTAAGACTCAAACTGGTTCGACCATGGGGGAGTCCAACACCTTAACCACCACACCACCTGCTCGTTCCAGAAAAGTGTTATAAAGTCCTTTAAGCAAATGCTCATTGAAACTATCTTAGGTCTTGTTTATATGGAGACATTTTTATATTACCTCATTCCTTTTTGTTGTTGATATTTTCTATAAGGTAAAATGAATGAATCTCTCACCAAAGAATCTTTTTCACCCTTATTTTTCAAAGATAGATTGACTCTCAGCATTTTGAAATATTATTCCACCAAATTTGGTTTCCACTGTTGTTGAGAAGCCGCCCTTATAACTGCTATTTCTAAGAGGTCTTCTTTTCCTTTCCAAATGATCCTAAGATCCTGTCTTTGTCCTTGTTTAGTAGTTTCACTGCATTTTTCTGTAGCCTATTTATTTCCCCTCCCCAATGTACACTGTGCTTCCTCTATCTGTGGAGGGGAAATAAACACGCTACAGAAAAAATGTAGTAGTTCATACCACCTCTGAAAGTCTCCCAGCCATTTCTTTAAATATTGTTTTTTCTTTGTCTCTATTTTCTTCTTCCAAAACTCTAGTTACACCAATGTATTTCTCATTCTACTCTCCAGCCACTTAACCTCTTGTTTATAATCTCCATTTACTTTTATAAGTTAATTTTATAAAATTCTCATTTACTTTTCTATCTGTGCTGAATTCTGAGTAATTTCTTCAGAACTATCTTATAGTTCATTAATTCTTTCTTTAGCTGTTTAACAATTCATTAATACAATTAATTAATGTAGCTCAACAATTCTATTTTTACTTACAGTAGATTATTCCCACTTTTTCTAAGCCTTTCTGGTTTTATTTTTTAAATTTCATCTTTTATTTCTTTAACTATTTCCTACATGGCTATATATTGCATCATCATCTCCCCTAAGTGTATAACTTAGGCAAATGACTTCATTTCTCAACTTCTAAGTTTCTTCATGTATAAAATGGAAATAATTATTTTACCCCCTTCAGGAACATAAGGCTTAAGTGAGTTATTGTATGTATGCCAGACAACATCACATCAGAAAACAGAAATCAATCTAGGTATTTCAGACAGGAGATTATATACGGGGAAGTCAATAGCAGAATTATTAGAAGAGAGGGATGAGCTAAAAAAAAAGGAAGAAGATGGTGTGGCCACAGACCAAGAACTCTCTAGCACAGCTACTGTACCTGCAGGAACCAAAACTCCTCTGAGCCAATGACACTCTGCTTCCACAGGGCCATGCAGTCACTCTAATAGCTCCCAATTATCTTCCAGCTACTGTCTCCCTTCAAGGACTGCTCATCCAAGTCTCATGACCTTATCTCCACACGGCCAGGGGGCCACTGCAAGAACAGGCACTTACCTGTGACTGCCTCTGCTGTGACCCATTCTGCCAGAGCCACTGCCAAGAGCAAAAACGTTTTTTTTTCCGATCTTTTCTTTTCTTTTTTTTCTTCCTATCTTTTCATCTGATCCCAATCAGAAGGCCGTAGAAGGAGGGTATGTGTGGAGCTGAGTCAGTATCTGGCACAGCGTGTTGCCTGGCACATGGCAGATAAGCGTTTGCTATGGTAGTACTTATATTTTGTCTTCAGTAATTCTTTTTTATTATTATTATTTCTTTTACACATTCAATCACGATAGATCTCTTAGCTTGTAAAGTGATTTCTGCCAACATGAATACACTTCACAGCATTCCAGCGTAGGATACTATACATGTTATCATCAACAAATAATAATCCACTTCCCATAAATGGTTGTACTCAGTAGTTCTAAGAGCTGAAGTCTTAGAGGGTCCCAACTGTTGTTTGTTGTCTCTGTCGACGCTCATTCAGTCACTCATGGATTGTTGCTCTGCATGTTTGGTGATCTTTGATTGTGATCTGATATGTGGTTAATCTTTGGGTGATCTTAGTCTATGGAAACTGTAACTTATGGATGAACTGGGGAGATTGCCTCCAGAGAGGATTTTGTTTGTTTCTGCTGAAAAGCCAGAGGAATGCCAACAACCTGGAATCTGCTTTAACATACTTTGAAGGTCCCAGACGGAAGGGGTCTTGAGTTCAGCATTCTTCCTCTTGTCTGGGGCCCATAATTTAGAGGCCCACATCAGTTGTGATGCTGATCACAAATATTTTACCCCAGAGATGAAGACTGCCTTTGGTGTGTGCTCATCTGCTGCTCACCCCCTCTCTGGTTTAAGCTCACATAGAGAGGGACAGAGAGAGGAACACAGAGATTTCCCTTACTTACTGGAAAAAAAAATATGAATTCCCATGTAGTCAACTTCAGTTCGAGTCCCGGACCCAGTTCCTTAAACTCACGCTGGGTGCATGTGCGTGCGTGCCCAAGATCCTGAGAGGAGAATGGAGGAGAAGGGATTGCAGTGTGGCCATCCCCCCAGGGGGTGATTTCTCACTTTCTATCTCTCTGTCTCTCTCTGTCTGTCTCGTGCACGCGCCCTCTTAGCTTGTAAAGTGATTTCTGCCAACATGAATACACTTCACAGCATTCCAGTTGAGGATACTATACATGTTATCATCAACAAATAATAATCCACTTCCCATAAATGGTTGTACTCAGTAGTTCTAAGAGCTGAAGTCTTAGAGGGTCCCAACTGTTGTTTGTTGTCTCTGTCGACGCTCATTCAGTCACTCATGGATTGTTGCTCTGCATGTTTGGTGATCTTTGATTGTGATCTGATACGTGGTTAATCTTTGGGTGATCTTAGTCTATGGAAACTGTAACTTATGGATGAACTGGGGAGATTGCCTCCAGAGAGGATTTTGTTTGTTTCTGCTGAAAAGCCAGAGGAATGCCAACAACCTGGAATCTGCTTTAACATACTTTGAAGGTCCCAGACGGAAGGGGTCTTGAGTTCAGCATTCTTCCTCTTGTCTGGGGCCCATAATTTAGAGGCCCACATCAGTTGTGATGCTGATCACAAATATTTTACCCCAGAGATGAAGACTGCCTTTGGTGTGTGCTCATCTGCTGCTCACCCCCTCTCTGGTTTAAGCTCACATAGAGAGGGACAGAGAGAGGAACACAGAGATTTCCCTTACTTACTGGAAAAAAAAATATGAATTCCCATGTAGTCAACTTCAGTTCGAGTCCCGGACCCAGTTCCTTAAACTCACGCTGGGTGCATGTGCGTGCGTGCCCAAGATCCTGAGAGGAGAATGGAGGAGAAGGGATTGCAGTGTGGCCATCCCCCCAGGGGGTGATTTCTCACTTTCTATCTCTCTGTCTCTCTCTGTCTGTCTCGTGCACGCGCCCTATAGCAAAAACCTCTCAAAAAAAAATAGTCAGTGGAGGAACCATTAATGAATGGGGGTCAGGGAATGGTGGGAACCAATCTGGGTTTTAGGGAAAAAAAAATCCTGAAAATAAAGCAGTCTGATTTCTAATTTAGTTTTCCACCTTTTTTAATATCAACAGTGTGAGAATCATAATCCTCATAAAGGTTGTCAGTGACAATAACACAGATTTTGGAGGAAAATCCAAATTTTAAGTATTTACCCTCATTGTTCTCATACATGCTATCTATTTATCAAAACTCTACTCCTAATTTGAGCTTGACCAGAAACAATCAGTGTAAATGTGGCCTTCATTACAAATGTGATATATTGCACTCTAGCTTATTAATTAATCTCTTATGAATCTGGGTATTGTTAATTAGATCCCAAAGCGTTAGCTCCCTGACAGCTCAATAGAAACAAGGAACACCTGGACAGGCCGTGCAGCAGCCGAGCATATGAACGCAGTTGCCTACAAAGGGCAGCCATCCAAGTCCTTTAGCAGCACCTGGTGAATTCCAAGATTTCTCTAAAGAATCTGATTCCTTGAATCATGCTCCACAGACACACCCAAAACTTCTGTTTGTGTTGGACAGCCCAGTTGCTCTCTACAAAGAATAAATCACATATGCAATAATGAGAAACATTAAAGTTGAGTATTAAGAAACAACTTAGTACTGATGCTACCAGAAGATTTTTGCCAACCAATAACATCTAGAAGTAGGCAAGCGAAGAAAGATGGCAAGTCTTCAGACACACACATAAATTGTTTAAGGAAGAAAAATGGACAGGTGCAATTCCACCCAACTGTATTGATTACATTTCAAATCTCCTCGTTGCATTTATATAGGGGCCTGTGGTGACAGGCAGCAAAGTGAAGGTAAGAGGAGAGAGCTTGGAAGGAGGATAGAGCCCCTAGAAACAGGTGGCTGGAGGGGATTAGAGAGACAAAGGTGGGATCAATTTCAGAAACCAATGGGAGAATACATTGATGGGTAGAATGCAGGCGGTGAGGGAACAAAAAGGAATTCAAGATGAGTACTTAGATTTTTTACTTGAGCAATTGGGTAGTTAGAATACCATTTAGTGAGAACAAGGAGACTATGGGAGACAGGTTGGACAAGACTATCAAGAGATCTGTTTATGACAAATAAGTTGAAGATGCTTATGAGACAGCCAGATGACTATGTCAGGTGTACAGTTGAAGATATGAGCCTGGAGTGCATCCTGAGCCACCTACTGTACAAGCACAGAACTTCCGAACCACTCACTCGAGTTTTCTCAAATAGTTTCCAAATATTACTATATTACTAACCCATGAACTTGAACACCAGACTAAAATCCCACAATACACTGGTAAAGATCATCTAAAAGGCATGGCTCATTGGGAAGCTGACTAAAGAAAGCTACCTGGTGCTACCACTACCCTTCATTTCATTTTTCAGAGGAAATCCTTCCAACCAATGCTGTGACAGGGTCCTACACCATTCCCAATCACCTTCAAGTCCCCAGCATTCCTTCTTCCAGGACCAAAATCTTCTCCCCTCTCTAAGTGAATGAGCCTCTCTTTTTGTTTCTACTTCCCTGAATCCGAATTCCTCCCTCCTTAATCCTTCTCCTAAGAACCAGTCACTGCTGGGACCAGCAGTTAGCGTAATGGCTGTCACTGGATTCCCACGTAATCGACTGTGGTTCAAGTCTCGGACCCGGTGGCTTAAACTCACATCGGCGGCCTGTGCGTTCGTGCCCAAGATCCAGAGAGGAGAATGGAGGAGAAGGGATTGTGGTGTGGCCATCCCCCCCGGGGGATGATTTCTGTCTCTCTCTGTCTGTCTAGTGAGCACACGCGCCCTATAGCAAAAACCTCTTAAAAAAAAAAAAGAACCAGTCACTGCTCTGTTCCTGTAATGAAAGACAGGTAAAAGGCATGGAGAGAGCCAGTCCAGAACTCTTACTTGCTGACAGCTGGGCTGGGCATCTGTGAGGATGGCAGTGCCCATGGGAACCCCTGAGAAACCACGTCCCTTGTACCCTGGCCACCATCTCCCTTGGCAGATTGCCTATGACTCTCCTTACTGAACATACCTAGTGCTAGCTGGCCTGCTCACTCACCCCAGCATGAACTCCAACCCCATCCCCTTATATTCCTTCCACCTAAACTGCCCTTCTCTCCCAGTCACCACATACTCACATCCTAACCGGTTGTAAAAGTCTGACTCAAATGTCACCTCATCATTGAAAAAGAAAAAGGAAAAGGAAAACTATAATGTGTTAAAAGCATATTTTATTTCAGTTGTCTCCTCTAACTCACAATTAACATGGCAGGTAGATACACACATTTTGTAGATAAGCAAACGGGTTCTAAGAGTGAGTCATTTCACAGTTACTAATCCCCTATTGGGTACCAGTCACTATGCAGGGCTCTGGAGAGCAACCTAAAACAAGACCAGTTCCTCCCACCCTCATGGAGCTTTTTCTCCAGCAGAAGAGGCAGTCAATTAAATGTAGTAAATGTGGTTACACAAACATGTAAAGCAAAACTTTAAAACATTTAGCAGAAAATATAGAATATCTTTGTCACTGTAGGGCAGGGAGGGACTGTTTATAGACACAAAAAACATAAACCATAAATGAAAAACTGATAAACCTGACTTCGTATTAAATGTTAACTTTTTTTATTGACAGATATCATTAAAAATTGAAAAGAGGGCTATCCAGTGGTATGCTAGTTAAGGTGGCTGAATCCTACATGGCCAACTGCACAGTTCAAGTCCTGAACTCAGCAGCTTGAGAGACACACAAGGCACATGTGCATGTATGCTCAAAATCCTGAGAGGAGAATGGAAGAGAAGGGATTATGGTGTGGCCATCTCCCAATGGTGGGGGGAGGGGAGGTGCATTCTTACTTTCTCTCTCCAGTTAGCACATGGACTCTATAGCAAAGTTTTTAAAAAGTGGAAAGATGGGACCAGCAATTAGTGTAATGGCTATGTCACTGGACTTCGATGTAGTCGACTGCGGTTTGAGTCCCAGACCCGGTGGTTTAAACTCATGCTGGACATGTGTGCACGCATGCCTAAGACCCCAAGAGGAGAATGGAGGAGAAGGGACTGCGGCATGGCCATCACCCCTGGGGGCTGATTTCTCGCTTTCTATCTCTCTGTCTGTCTGGCAAGCTCATGCGCCCTATAGCAAAAACCTCTCCAAAAAAAAAAAAAAAAAGTGGGAAGACAAGCTACAAACTGCAATGCAATATTTATAATACATAAATCTCACAAAGTATTAGTTTTTGGAATATATAAAGAATCTCTACAAATAAATAAAAATAGAAATAACCCAATGGGAAAAGTATATACATTTCATGAAAGAATAAATACAAATGACTAGTAAACATCTGAAAAGATGTTCAACCTCATTTAAAAAGTTAGAGGAGGAGAAATTTAGCCACAGTAAGATTCCACTTTATACCAAATAGATCGCCAAAATTTAAGTCTGGCCATGCCAACTGTTGCCAAGAATGTGGAATGATGATGCTGCTGAGGTATTGCTGGTGGTTACATAAATTGGTGCTGAAAACAACTGCAATAAGATGTAGTGAGTATAATAGGTGGAGCAAAGAGTGTCAGAGATTATACAGCAGGTGGGGCAGGAAAAGGTCCATGAAAGCTGAGCCCAGAAGGAAGAATTACAGTTACCACCTGAAGGAAGAGCAGGCTGTTTCTGGCAGAAGGATGAGGAGCATCACATACTCAAAGCCAAAGAGAGGAGTGTGCAAGGGCCAGGTCAGCAGGGCCAAAAATTGTATCAGAGAGCTCGTACTCTAAGAGCTATGGGAGATTACCGGCATTTATTAAAGGAGATATAGCATTCATTCATACACTCACTTAGCAAAAAGTCACTGGCACCATGGGCCAACCCTCACTAGGCTCTAGCTCTACATGATTGCATTCTATTGGAACTATCCACTTGGCTATGGGAAGGACAGGTTGGAAAGTCACACAACTGGCAGCAGAGAGACACCAAGGAAGTAGTCTGGGAGTTGTTGTCTGGTCTAGAGCAGTAACAGGAAGAGATGATACAAATGCGCAGAGACATGAAGAATGTAAGAGGCATAAGGAACAAGGCATGATGACTCACAGGATGTAGGGGTTAGAGTGCTGAGTGAGAAGAAAGACTCAAGGTGACAGTCGCAGGTATCTGGGTGGATGGTAAGACATTCAGGCTAGAGGCTAGGAATCAAGGAGAGTGGGGAGTGGACAATGTGTGTGGTTTGGTGTAGTTAAGCTGTGGACAGAAAATTATATAGGAGACTGAGAAAAGAATCGCCAAAGGAAAGTTAGTGTAACATTGCAGAATCCAGAGGAGGAGGTGGTTGAAGTTGAAGAAGGAAAGAAAATGATCAATAGTGTGAAATGCTGTTGAGAAGTTGAGTTTGTTTTTTGGTTTTTGGTTTTTTTTAATGCTGAGAATTATTCACTGAGAAGAGACAAAGATGACCTTCCTGAGAGAAGTTCTGATTACATGGTGGGAGGAGGCTAATTGTTGAGGGCTTAGGCAAGGGAGAAACAAGTGAAGGCGCTTTTAACAGAAACAAAGCAATAGGTATAGAGGAGTTACCGCCTCTGTTGCGTTGTTTTGTTTAGATAGGAAGGACTTGGGTGCATTGGTGACAAGGAACCCGCAGACAAAACAAGGTTGAAGAGGAAAGAGCACAAAACAAGGAGACCTTCAGGAAAACAGGTATTCTGTTTCAACCCCAACCAGGCACACTACAGTTCATTTCTGGTACTAACTCCAAGAATTTGGGTAAATTCCACAAGTTTAAAGACATGGTCCCCATTAAGACTGCCCTTACTTCAAATGCCAGGCACACTCATATTTGGGGGGTCCTCAAGCCACTCACATTTTTGAATGACTGGATATAAATTCAAGGATCTCCATAATCTCTCAGATTCAATAATTGGCTAGAACAACTGGTAGAACTCCAAAAATTGCTGTACGATTTTATTAAAGAGAATACATATCAGAAGGACCAGCCGAAGGATGAGACACACAGAGAGAGTTCTGGGAAATAACACAGAGCTTCTGATTGCCTCTTCTTGGGCTCAGTTCATCAATGTGTGCAGCAGGAGACTCAATGCAGCAATGAAAGCAAGGCTACTCTCATCAGGAAGGGAAAAGAGAGGAAGGAAGAAGGCAAATGAATATTTCTGCATGTTGACCGTGGCCTATCTCTATGATAGGTGCTTTTCCATGTGTGACCTTATTTATCTTTACAACTTTGAGAGTTGGGTCTTGCTGTCCACCTTTTAACATGAGGACATGAGATGAGGAAGTTGAGTAACTTCTGGGGACATAGCTGGGAGGACACAGATACTTTCATCTCCTTTTTGGTCATTTTTTTTTCCATCTTACCCACTGAGTACTCCCTGGAATTAATTGGGTGATCATTCAGCCCATGTATTGACTATAGATGGAGGCAAGGTAGCAAAGAAGTGGAGGTGGGTAATTTTGTCACAGCCATCTAGGAACTTAGACTGGCCAGAGATGCTCCCAAATAGTCACATTTGAAACAACCCCCTTCTTACCAGTAAGGAAGTTTGTTACCTGGGGTAGACTACGTTTAAGGTTCTCTTCTAGGTATTGATGTGGTGGGTCTGTTTGCTGGTTTGTAAGATTGCTTTCTTTCCTCCAAGAACTTAGAAGTAGCAGGGAAACTCCTTGTCCTAGAATAAAGTAAGCTGAAGTGAATTCTCTCCTATCTTTGATATTTTAAAATAGTGTCTCCCAGGACCAGCAGATGGCATAATGGTTACATCACTGCATTCCTACGTGACCAACCGTGGTTCGAGTCCCAGACCCAAGAGCTTGGAACTCATGCCGCCATGTGCATGCATGCCCCAAATCCTGAGAGAATAATGGAGGAGAAGGGATTGCGGCATGGCCATCCTCCCCTGGGAAGTGATTTCTCACTTTCTGTCTCTCTGTCTCTCTAACAAATGCATGTGCCCTATAGCAAAACTCTCTCTAAAAAATCCCCTACAGCAAAATCTATTAAAAAAAAAAAAAAAAAAAAAAAAAAAAAAAAAGTTTCTCCTAAGAGCCAGTGGTGGTGCAGCAGAAACTCAATGCTTTACAGTGTTGGAACCACATGAGAAGGTCCTGGGTTTGCATCCTAAGGTCTACCTGTACTCTCTTGGCATACACACACCTGTGATGCACAATGGATATATATACATATATATATATATATATATCTTGCTTTTAATAATGAAAGAACTAAATAAACTTTTAATACATAAAAAAATAAAATTCTATCTCCTATAAAATCAGCCTTTGTAAGGAGGAGTCAAGGAACTTGCTGGGTTTCACAAAGGCTGCCTAATTCCTGGAAATCCAGTTGTCTGCAGGATGACACTGTTAAAGAAATTATTCAGTGACACTTATAAAAGCACAGCAGGAAAGACTTTATTCAGGACCATTGTGATAGATATAGGTACCACTGCAATGGGATTTTGCAGGGAGGAAGAGAACTTGGGTTCAACTCTGCCCATAGCATGGGCAGGTGGACATACATCACCAAGGATGGTAGAAGTCAGTGGATAAAAATTACTAAGAGGATGGGCCCAGCAGGTGGCGTGGTGATTAAGGGTGCTGGATTCCTCTGTGGCCAATTGTGGTTGGAGTCCTGGACCTAGCAAATTGCTGTCTTGCTATCCCTTTCTCTCTCTCTCTCTCTTTCTCCCCCTGGTTAAATTAAAATAATAGTAATTATTATGATAACAAATGGAATTAAATAAATAAATCATTCTTTTAAAAAAAATAAGAGGAAATATCAAAAGTAGGTGGGATTCTGGCTGAACACATCTAAGAGGACGCTTGCTGATAACAAGCCAGGGTCATCAGAGGATAGGAAGGTTGTCAAGACAGTGCACAGATGGACATAGGAGAAGGTTCAAGAACCTAACTAAAACCTGGTGAAGCAGAGAATCTTAGTCAATATGAGATAGAAGTGATCTGACATCGATGCTGTGTCCACACATGTGATATGAGCACAGAAAAAATACTGAGTGCTTACTCCCTTTTCCTCTGGCATATCAGTCTAATTCCCTTGTTAATGCCGCTCTTTGTAGTAAAGGGGCATGAGAGGACAGACTAAGCAAGTTATGCTGAACACCTGGTACCAGACTGATGTTGAGATTTCAGAGGCCTGGGTTTTTCCAAGAGCAGGTTATCATGGAGTGCCCTCTCTCTGAATGCCCAGTGTGGACAAGAAGAACTCGAGCTACAAGTTGGTCACCTGTGTTGGATTCCAAGATCTGCCTGACCCGCTGGCAAGTCTCATTCCTCAGCCATCAACTGACCTGGGATATTGGTCAAAGAGATGAACAGGAAGTCTTAGGTGCCTTCAAGCTTCTGTAGAGTAAGCATCTGTTGGGGAAGGTCATTCTCTTGGCTAAATAAAGAGTTTCAGAAGGAACTGCCTCAAGGAAGTGAGAGAAGCCCAAGAAACTTGCCCATTCAGCTAGAACAGCACAACCTAAAGGCAGAATGCAGAGAGCTAATCCTCCCACCCCCAGGCATGGAGCTTAGGACTCTAATGTTTGCCAGGTTTCACATTCTTTAGAAAATAGGGAGTGGGACCAGCAGATGGCATAATGGTTAGGTCACTGGACTCCCACATAGTCGACCATGGTTCAAGTCCCAGACCCACTGGCTTAAAACAGCCTAGGCATGTGTGTGTGCATGCCCAAGATTCTGAGAGGAGAATGGAGGAGAAGGGACTGTGGCATGGCTATTCTCTCCCCCACTGGAGGTTGATTTCTCACTTTCTGTCTCTGTCTCTCTCTCCTTCTGTTGAGCACATGCACCCTATAGCAAAAATCTCTCAAAAGAAAACCGGAGTAAAACCCAGGACAGGAGCAAGTGAGGACTGGCAGGGGATGGCTCCTTTATCAATAATTGTCATCACCCACTCTGGCCTGGGACATGATTAGGTTGACAGGGACCTGCTCTCACAAGGGTTAGTGGAGAAACTTATCAGTAAACAATTAACAAATACAAGCTTTCAGACAGCGAGAACAAAATTAGGCCTGCGAAAAACAGGCTAGAATTAAAGGGAAGAAGGGGGTTAATATGCCGGGAGGTTAGAAGACTTGCTCTCACTGGGGGACCAGCAGTTAGCATAATGGCTATGTCGCTGAACTTCCATGTAGTCAACCGCGGTTCAAGTCCCGGACCTGATGGCTTAAAACACACTGGGCGCGCGTGCATGCCCAAGATCCCAAGAGGAGAATGGAGGAGAAGGGATTGCAGTGTGGCCAACGCCCCTGGGGGGTGATTTCTCACTTTCTGTCTCTCTGTCTCTGTCTGGCAAGCGCACACGCCCTATAGCAAAAACCTCTCAAAAAAAAAAAAAAAAAAAACTTGCCCTCACTTACAGTATGATCAGACAGTAGGTCCAGGATCAGACAGTAGGTCCAGCAGGGAGATAGGCAGTGCAGCTGCTCATGGACTTCCAGCCCAAAGCTAGGGAACTGGGAGGAACCTTTCCTTGAAGCAAGGCACCCAGAGTCCATCACAAGCACAGCTGTGACCCTAGATGCCTTGGTGCAAATGTCTTGCCACAAGAGACATGGGCAGGTCCCTGGGGAAAGATGGTGGCATATGACTGGAATGAAGCCATTAGCCACCTGAACTAGCTCACAACAGGCCCTCAGGGTCTCCCATGGTTCCCTGATGCACATGCATGCATACACACACAGAATCACACTTCTCCTTATTATTCCTCAATACAGGGGCTCTGACACCATTTCTTTATGCCTCCCTCTGCATACCACATACCTCTGAATGCCCAGCAAATGCAGGCTTCTGGGGAAAGGGAAGGTATACCCTGGTCTCTGAGCGGGGACAAAGGAAGCCAGTGGCAAGAATTCAACCACAGACAGCATGCTCAGGTTTCGCTGGAAGTAACATTTGCTTTAATGACTTCGAAGAGTTCCCAGGACACTGTCTTGAAGTACCCTCCCTCTGGCCTCCACCTCAGACGGCCACAGCTGTGCCTGCCACAGCTGACTTTGATTCACATGCTCAAGTCAAACAGGCTGTACCGACACCACGCATTGCTCTCATTCCTGGGGATACCACACTGAGTAAAGGTGCCCGGGTCCCTGCTGTCAGAACCCTTCATGAGGTGGCCACTCTGCTGAGCACAGGGGAGATACAGACCCAGAGCACAGGAGGTCCCTTACTGCTCCTGCCACATCAACCCTGGAGAGGACATTTTGTTGTTCCCTAAATCTCTGAGACCACCTTCCTGCCTTCAATGAGGGTTTTCTGAAGGTCAAAAGATGAGAGGAGGGAAGGAAAATAAAATGCCAGCATGGCTACTCCCAGACCATGTATGGACCACTCTCCCCAGCTCACTCTTTGACTCCCTCAGTGCAGCAGCAACCAGCTCTCACTCTCACATGCAACCCAGATGGGGCCTATGCCTTCCCCTATGCCACCCAGGTAGGTCCAAAGCTCAGAGGCCCAACTCCAGCTGCCATGACACCTAACAGAAAAGATTCCGTCTTACCTACGAGGCCCATCTTCCTGCCCCAGCTTGTCCAGGATGTCTGACAGTAAATATTCACTCCTTTCAGGGAGTAAAATCGAACAATGACAATGAAACTGCCAACAGAGCCTTCTTTGTAATCAAGCTTCATGGGACCTCTAAGACTAGTCAGTTGCCCAGGCAGGCTCAGTACATGATGCACAGCCCCTTCTTCAACACATATAACGCCCCTTTTAAAAACAAAAGCAAACAAGGAAACCAGCAGTTAGCATAATGGCTATGTCGTTGGACTCCCACGTAGTCGACCATGGTTCGCGTCCCAGACCCAGTGGCTTAAAACTCACGCCTGGCGAGTGTGCGTGCATGCCCAAGATCCCGAGAGGAGAATGGAGGAGAAGGGATTGTGGTGTGACCATCCCCTCTGGGGGGTGATTTCTCGCTTTCTGTCTCTATGTCTCTCTGTCTGGCGAGCGCACGCACCCTATAGCAAAAACCTCTCAAAACAAACAAACAAACAAACAAACAAACAAACAAATAAAAACCTTTCCAAAGGGTACATGCACTCACCAGAGAGAGACAGAAAGGAAGAAGAGAGAGAAAGTGAGAAACCATCTTCAATGGGGAATAGTCACACCATACCCCTTCTCCATTCTCCTTTTGGTATTTTGGACACACATGCATATGCACCCAGTGTGTCTTTTAAGCTGCTAGATCCAGTACTTAAATGCCACAGTCAACCACGTGGGATCTGGCCGACTTAACCCCCACGCCACCAGTTGGTACAGTGAGTGACACTCGCCCCCACATCCTTCTAGGTACTCTCAGGTCCCTAGCTCTGTTCTACAGCAAACAACCCATCTAAGGAGAGCCTTAAAAAGCTTTTTGAATGCTTTCCAAAAAATAGTCCCACGTACAAAAACACTCTCCCTGTGCAGAGAGCCAGGCCTGCTTTCTCCTCCCTTCTGGCCCGGCCATGCCCTGAGCCTTCGTGAGAAAAGGGAGAGGGCCTCTCCCTGGCACTTGGTGTATACACCTACCACAGCATTTGCCATAGTCTGTCCTTGGGGAGAATGTGCAAAATTCCTGAGGACAGATACCGCTAGTATGCGGTCTCATTCCCTTCCCTACATATGTACACGTGTGTGCACACACCATACATCCCTTACACTGGGTGAAGAAGGAATGATAGAAATCATACTAAAAACTGCTTTCCTTAGCATTCCATCACCTTTAACATCATCTTTCTGGACCTCTTTATTCTCAAAGGAATTTGGAAAACCCTCAAGAGATATTTCAAAATTGATATATGGGAAAATGGGAGTGTCTCTCCAAAAACATGCGTACTTCAGATTTTCTGATGAGACACAGGACAGGAGCACCACTCCTTTCTTAGAGTGTTAATGCTCATACAACCTGCCTGCTCCAGAAAACTATATAAAAGCTTCAGAATATGTGGCAGATGGCCATGTGCCTTCATGGCAGGAACTGTGCTTCTCTCCCTGTCCTCCAAGGAGACAGCACCATGGATCAGGCCCAGAGCCACTATTCCACTCTGAGGGTCTAGGGGCCTGACAATGCAACTACCTCTGTATTGGCAAGGCCATTTGCTGAGTAGCCTTGCTGAGCACTTCCTTTCCCAGAAAACAGAAAACTCAAGTTCCAGGGACCAGCAGATGGTGTGATGGATACGTTGCTGGACTCCCACATAGTTGACCACTGTTTGAGTACCAAATCTGGTGGCTTAAACCTCATGCTGGGCACATGTGTGTTTATGCCCAGAATCCTGAGAGGAGGATGAGGAGAAGGGATTACAGTATGCCCATCCTATACGGGAGGTGATTTCTCACTTTCTGTCTCTATCTCTCCCGTGAGCACATGTGCCCGATAGCAAAAATCTCTCTTAAAAATAAACAGGGGAAAGAGAGAAAACTCAGTTCCAGCCAACGATAAATAAGTGATTAATGAAGTGATACTAACAAAGTTTTGGAAGGAAATGGCCAAATCACCTTCGATTGTGTAATAACTAGGGAGAAAAATATAGGTATTTTAAGAAAGCATTTTATCAGGCCAGCCAGTGGTGTAGTTGTTAAGGTGGCTTGGGAGCTGGCAGGTGGTGTGGTAGTTAAGGACATTGGACTCCCACATGGCTGACCGCGGTTCAAGTCTTGGACCTGGCAGCTTGCTTTCTCACTTTCCCTCTCTCTCACTCTATGTCTTTCTCTGTCCCTCTCAAATTAAAATTAAATAAATATAAATTAATTAATTATTTTTTAAAAAGGTGGCTGGATCCCATATGGCTAACTACAAGGTTCGAGTTTAGGGCCCAGCAGCTTGAAAAACATGCTTGGTACGTGTGCATACATGTCCAAAATCCCAAGAGGAAAATGAAGAGGAAGGGATTGGAGCATGGCCATCACCCAGAGGGATCTCTCTCTCTCTCTCTCCTCTCTCTCAACAAATGCACACACCCTACAGTAAATTTTAAAAACAAAGAAGTATTTTATTATAGATTTTAGGAGAGAAGTATTTTTTACCAGTGCAAAAAGTACACAATTCCAAATATTAAATACCCTGAAAGAGGGCTAGCAAATGGCATGGAGATTAAAGCACTAGATCCCATATGATCAATGGTTCAAGTCTCAACCTGGTGACATGAAAATCATGCTGGGCACATATGTTTGCGTGCCCAAAAAAAAACTCAAAAGGAGGTTAGAGGAGAAGGAATTTTAGTGTGGCTATCCCTCCTGGAGGGTGATTTCTCACACTTTCCCTCTTTCGCTCTCTCACTCTCTGTCTCCCTCTCTCTGTGTGTTTCTGTCTCTCTCTCTCTCTGGCAAGTGCACGTGCCCTATAGCAAAAACAAAAACAAACAAACAAACAAACAAGCAAAGCCCTGAAAGGGGCTGTCCTCATGACCTAGTGGCTAAGGGAGTCAGATCCCACATGGTCAAGTGTAGTTTGAATCCCAGCCCCTAGTGCCTTGAAAAATATACTGGGTGCATGTGCATATGTGCCACAAATCCTGAAAGGATGGAGGAAAAAGGACTGTGGTGAGATCCTGCCCCTTTAGGGGATGATTTCTCCTCCCTCTTCTATCTGTGTCTCTCTTTGGTGAGTACACATGCCTTCAAGCAAATAAGAATAAGGACCATAGAGAGATCATTTTCTTTGATGGTGCTATAACGAAGTCTTAAGGAAGAATGAAAGGACAAAGTAACTATAGTTCTATTTCTATAGAACTATAGAAATAAAAAAAAATCACATCCATGATTATTGCAGCATTATTTACAATTGCTAGGACATGGATTCAACTCAAACGTCCAAAAATAGACAAGTGGGTTGAAAAAATGTGGCATGTGCACTCTATGGAATACTACTCACTCATAATAAAACAATGAGACCCTGACATTTGATACAAAGTGGATGAATATGGAAGACTTAATGCTAAGCAAAGCCAGGCAGACTTTGTATGTCCCTACTCAATATATACCAATGTCTGCACTCTATAGCAGAAACTGAAAGTTTGGTAGGCATAGTAGTGTGAGGGCAACTACAGATACTAGAGATAGTAAGGATAGGGGTAATACGGGAGTGGGTCATAGCAAGAGGGAGGGGAACAGGGGAAAAATACGTTTAACTGACACAAAAATGAAAAGTTATTTGCTGATGATAATGTAAATAGTCATGTCTTTGTCTTGACTGATCTGTACCACATTCATGCTGGAAAAAGCAATGTTGTACACTGTAAAGATAAAAATATATAAAGCAATATCATATACTATCGATATATATGTATATATATACATATATATATGTAAAGATATAGTGATTAAATGTAAATTTAAAACAATCTAAAGCAAATAAATAAATAATTCATTAAAAAGAAGAAGAAACTCAGAAAAGGGAAGAGAACTGGAAGTCAGATTTGGAAAGTCCCAGTGCTAGCCTGAGAGGAAGAGGAAGAAGTGAATTCACACAGCATGTTACAGCCAGGAGGAGAAAGGAGAGAGAACAAGAGAACAAGCTCATCCTGATTCTAAAAGGGCAATAAGGAAACACTCAGGGGCAGAGATGTTGAGATGTGACAATCTGGCCCCATCAATGTAATTCCAAGTGTAATCACTGAGAAAGAGGTCCACAGACAGGCACTGTACAGACAGGAGAAAAGCGGGGCAATGACTGTTTGTAACAATTAAAAGTGAGGAAGTAGGATCTGGCTGGGGTTAAGCTAACCCATGTTTGAGTCATGGTTCCAGCATTTACTACTTATATGGTCTTAGATAACTTCCTTCTCCCAGCCTTGGTTCCTGGATAGGTAAGGTGAGTCGATACTAGCTACCTTAAAGGTTATCGTGAAGACTAAATAGGAAATAAGAAAAAAATGTCTGACATGATTAGATACTCAAAAAGGGCAGATTGTTTTTTCAAATATGACTTCTAAATTTGAATCTAAGGAAAATCGTATGAAAAAAATGGTAGAATACAATGACCTACAACCTATGACTTGAAGGACAAACCATTTCTTTACATATTGTCTAAGACTACTTTCCCAAACCAATGGCCGGCCTTTACCAAAAAATATTTCCAGAACCCTTGGAACGTGGTAGGAGAGCTCTCTGTCTCTTCTGTAATTCACTCTCTACACTCATTATGTGTGAGAAAAGATACACAGAGTTGGAAAGCTCTGCTATGCCCCTTACACACCCAGGGGCTTTTTCTGCTCTATGCAAGGAAAGGACAAGATTTCACTGACCTCTCAGAGGTACAACAACTCAGCTAGCAGGGAAAAGCCATTGGAGAACACACACCTGACCAGACCTTGCCACCTGCTCACAGATCTAAACCCTCCCTGTTCTAGACCAGGGAGGAAAAGGAAAGGAGTCTGCCTCTTCCCTCTCTGAGTACAGGCCCACTGGATATATTCCATAAGATAAAGGCAGCAGTCTCAATACTGAAAATTACATGGCCCATCTCAAATACTCCCAAAAGCAGAAAGAAAAGGAGAGATGCATCAACAGAGGCAGGTGTGGGTACACAGGACCCATAGACATGCTTGAAAGAACGTGGAAGACTCGATAACAATGTTAGCAAGTTGGGACCAGCAGTTAGCATAATGGCTATGTTGCTGGACTCCCACGTAGTCGACCATGGTTCGCGTCCCAGACCCGATGGCTTAAAATCACGCCAGGCGCATGTGTGTGCGTGCCCAAGATCCCGAGAGGAGAATGGAGGAGAAGGGATTGTGGTGTGGCCATCCCCCCCCCGGGGGGTGAAAAAAAAAAAAAAAAAAAAAAACAATGTTAGCAAGTCAACACTAAGAGTGAGATGGAGCTTGGGGAAATGGTGGAGACAGTCATTGCTAAATTCTGTTCTGAGCAAGAAGGTGAACAAGGAAGGAACAGCCCACTGTAGAAAAGAGAGATCACTACACGTACTCACAATAACAATAAGAATTAACAATTATTTTGCTTCTCCTTTTATTCAAAATGATTGAAAAATCAACTGAGTAGGTCAACCTTGATAACAGAACTAAGGAGCCCAAGATCTGACATAAGATGGTACCAAAACATGTGGTACTTTGAATAAATACCCATCTCCTCTCTTAGAGGAATGACCTGCCAATGTAGAAGGGAACTTGCAGCTAAGAAGACCTCGAGTGACTCAAGAGCTAAAGAATTTCCCAAAAGCTGGAGCTCCCTACCACATCCTGGCATTGCCAACTTCCCACTTCTGCTTGTTCTATTTCCTTGAGTCTACATGGCCATCAACATCATTGTCACTTTTCACTACCGCCCTTAGTGCAACTATTTCTGTAGTGAGTAGTTCACTACTTTGGGGAGACCGGAAGGAAGTGCCGCAGCCTGAGCCAATTCTCAGAGATATACTTTGTGCAACATGCCTGCTTGACACAGAGGTTTTACTTCCTTAGATGGACAGGATGGTGCCAGATTTTGGGTCTAGGCGACAGAGCCAATAGGAGACATGGCAGAACTGTAGGCATTGTTACGTCAAGGGGCATTACCCCACAATTCCAAAATTTCCCTCAAGCAGAGAGAATCATGGGCTTATGCAACCTGCATACTAACACCACTCCAAACACATATTGGATGAGCCACTTCACCTCTCCTGGTTTTGGTTTCTTCATCTGCTATTCGCATCCCAATAGCAATCTGTATTTATCTACACGGTCCCTCTAGATCCCACCAGACAATCAAGGGCTCCTTTCAGCTGACAGATCCTGAGGTCCAGAAATACTAAAATTAGAAGATAGAGAAGTGAAGATAACTCAAGATTCCTGACCTGTCCAAGAAAGAGAATGGACTAACCCAAAGCTGGTGCTCGGGTCCTTGGCATATCACCCTTGCAGTCACTGTCTTTCATCCTCCTTGGCTCAGTTTGTAATCACATCAACAGACTAAGGATATATCTATGTTCTCTGTCAGGACAGCCCAAGAGCCACCAGACCACCAGACTCTGCTGCTACAGAGGAAAGGCTTTGAGGAAGGTGGAAGTTCCTCCAATGATCAATGCTTAATTTGCAAAGTGAATTGTGTGAAAACAAAATGGAGGTGTCCACAAGACGCCTAGCCTCTGGGGTATCTGCAGTACCAGACACCAGATTTTATGGGGGCTCAAAGTTGGAAAATGATTACTACTTAGCAAACTCATGGAAATTAATGCACTGAGTAGCTTTTATATTTCTAGTGCAGTATGGAACTTCCAGAGATAGAATTCTTGAGTCTTCCCTTCTGACATCAAGTTACTGGGAGCCAAATTAAGAATCAAAAGGCTGTTTGGAGGGACCAGCAGTTGGCAGAAGGCTATGTCGCTGGACTCCCACATAGTCAACCGCAGTTTGAGTCCCAGACTCGGTGGCTTAAACTCACATTGGGCACTTACTGCCTGAATTTATATGCTGAACACTGCTAGACTTGTTCCTAAAAAGTTCAGACTTCTGGAGGAACCAGATAGGTGGACAGAATTTCAGATTAGTACTATAATAAATGTTGTAATATAGATGTGCCAAAGGGTCTAGGAAAGATGTTTCTAGACTCCATGCACTAATCATAACCTGGTCATTCATTCATTCATTCTATGAATAAAGGCCTACCCTGGGCAGCACCATGGGCTGGGCACTCTACTAATCTCTAGGTTAAACAGAGTAAATACTCGCTGTTTCTGAGACATATAGTCTCCTCTGTATATTCTTAGCAAAATGATATTCCATTTCTGAATTCACTGATTGTGGGATACACAGATGGCATAATGGCTATGTCACTGGGCTCCTATGTAGTCGACTATGGTTCGAGTCTCAGACCCAGTGGCTTAAACTCACGCCAGGCATGTGTGCATGCATGCCCAAGATCCCAAGAAGAGAATGGAAGAGAAGGGATTGTGAAATGGCCATCCCCCCTGGGAGGTAATTTCTCACTTTCTGTCTCTCTGTCTCTCTCTGTCTTTCTGGCAAGCACACACGCCCTATAGCAAAAACCTCCAAAAAAAAAGAGAGAGAGAGAGATTATAATCATGAATGCTTGACTTATTCACAACCATTTCAAAATATGACTTAATTCATATTCTTGTTTCACTGGTCACTCAGCACTTATATGGTTTCAATGTGGCTAGGGTAGCAACTCCTGGTCTGCACTCTTGCACACTGTATAGTCCCTGTCCTACCCAAGGCAGGTCAAGCGTCTCCCAGATGCTCCCGTAATTGACAGAGAGCTCCAAAGATAGAGGACAGGATCCTCAATGTAGATAAGAAGGCTACCATTACTTTGTTATACCCATTCATCTATTAAGTCGTCAGGAAATCCATGTTGTATTTTTCTGTTTTTCTAGCAAAAAAACGCATCATGATTTTCCCAACGACCCAATATTTCCACGTGAGAAGTTTCCTAAACTGCAGTATAAGGAGGTGACTGATGGAGTGTGTTTGCATGTCTATATCCATGTGTCCTCTGCTTTGTTTCAGAGATCCTAAATTAAAACATCCTTCCAACTTAGGAAAATCCAATATTCTAATATTGACATCATCTTTACGATTTCTATCCAAAAAAAAGTGTATATTTGCATGATGACACGTTTACCAAATGTGTCATAGTTTTCTATCCTGTCCTTCCACGAACTAGGGAATTGTTTCATTTTATCAGCCTCCTCCCCCCCACCCCCCAGAATTCCCACCAAACGTCTGTTTTTCTTCTCCCTTCAACTTGGTTGTGAAATTAGTTAACCAAAGGGGAAATTTCTCAATTGCTCACTTCTGCTTTTGAAGGCCATAAAACTGTGAGGGAAACACTGGCAGACAATATCGCTCTACAAAGCTCAAGACCTAACAGGCTACTCTGGGATTCTAGCCAGCCAGTCTCCATCGATCAAGTACGACTTTAACTAATCCTTACGACCAGGCCCTAATGGAGTCTCTCTGTCTCTCTTTTTCATTCTGTCTTTTTCTTCTCTTTCTCTCTCTTCTTCTCTTTTTCCTTTCATCGCCCCTTCATCCTTGCCTGAAGGATAGGCATTTGCAAAGATGCTAAGTGTACTAATATGCTTGTGAAATGCTCTGGGAATGACGACTGCTTGTCTAGTATTTGATATCTGAGAGTTCAAAGTCGATGTCTCTAGGTCTCCTAGTAGCTACTCTCCTGGTTTCGGTTTGGTTTAGTAATTTTTTTTCCTCTAGACTTTCTGATTTATTCACTCACTCATTCGGAGATCATTTCTTTGCATGTCTGTCATGTTCTGATAGATGCTGACAGAAACACATATGAAAGCAGTCCTCATGGGAACTGGTACTAAAAGTGATCATTCATTTTCTTCTCTTTACACAGGTCTCTGAAGCAGCATGGCTGTTGTACCTGAACTCGCCAATGAAATGATGGATTACTACAGGTTAGTGTGGAGACTGAGGCCAGCCATATAAGCAGGGCTCAATTTTCAAGAGCAGAATCTTATCTGTACTTAGAGACCAGATCTGTCCCCCCAAATTGCCTCTTTTAGTGGCAAGCAGGATTCCAAGTTGACCTGGTTTAAAGGTTGATTTCCCCACTGCAAGTCTAGCCTTGGAACTGGGAGTCCATCTAGATGTCATTGCTGCAGGGGCTTCTTTCAGAAGTGGACGATACAAGGACCCTTTAGCAAAGTCTGACTTGGGGAGGGATGAGTTCAGATTTTAGCTGACTCCATTGGGTTACAGGTTAAGTCTCAGGTCCAACAGGGAGCACTCAGAGTGCCAACCTGCCTGGCCCAGAATACAACTCTTAGACTATTGCGTGCACAACACAATGGAACTTATCAGAGTATTAGGCAGCATTGGGTGACATACTATTTGTGGTTTCCTGTTGACAGTGAACACTTGTATGCAGAGAAGGAAAAATAAAACTGTTTAGAAGATATAATTGAGCCACATGTCTGTTTTTATTACAGTGCCGAAGAAGATTACCTGCTCTTTGAGGCTGATGGTCCCAAACAGACAAAGGTAAGACTCAGCTTAGGTGCTAACACATGAAGGGGCTCCAGTGTGGGAAAATTTCAAAAAAAAAGGCTTCTGGGCCACTGTGTTTCCCTGGTATTTCATGATTAAATGACTTTCACCTCTTCCAATGAGACAGGTATAGCCTATACCATGTGCCCACGTGTCACCTTCCTCATTCACTAAGACGTGGTGACAGTGACCAGGCTTGAGGGCACAGGATGGGGGCAGTGGTAATAATGTTAGCTGTTTCATGATAGGAAGACAGCCAAGTCTTCAACATGAATCTGATTCTCCTTTTAGGAAATGGGCTCAGCCTATGCTAACCACTTCCAAATCGGAAACTTAGACATGTCCTGAGCATATGGCTACCCCTTTCAGTGTATAAGAGGGTTTTGCTCCCTGCAGTAGAGCTTATGACAACAGAACATAGATGATATAAACAAAACGATGAATTGGGTATTGAAAGGAAGCAACCATTTGCTTGCTGATTGACCGTATACTAGGTATTTCACCACTTTGGACCAAATCTGAACAATAAAAGACACAAACTAGATGATCTCTGAGATCCTAGTGTCTTGAAGCTTCCAGTTCTAGGATATTTTTAGTGGTAACTAAGTTTATTCCAGAAAGTGATCCTTTCCAGACTCTTTTCCTATGAAGAACAGTGTTGGTATTCCACCAGTCCCTTTATTTTTTATGTGCTGCCTAAGAACATTCCTAGGTGGCACAACTGGATCCCAAAAGGAGGGAGATATTGAGGAGGGAGGGTGCTTTCTTACATTCCTTTTTTCTCTCTCTGTCTCTCTCTCTCTCTCTCTCTCCCCCTCTCCAGCAAGCATGCATTCCCTCTAGCAAATTAAATTAAATATATATAGTAGAAATGTAATTTATTCTAAAAGAATAGCATATCAAGTGTCAGAAAGCCCACACTCTGGTTTTGGTTCTGCCTCTAACTTGCTATGTGTCCTTAGGTAAGCCACTTAACCTCTCTAGACTTCAGAAAGAAAAGAATTATGAGAAGCTCAGTTATCTCTAAGACTCTTTCCTCCTCTCTAATGTGGAACTGGGAGTTCACTGGCCTGGAACATTGTAAGGTGCTCTATTCCCTTGGTTTCTCCACAGAGCTTCTACCAAGATGTGGATTTCTGCTCTCCAGACAAGGGCATCCAGCTGCAAATTTCCCATCAGTCCTATGACAAGAGTTTTAAAAAGTTTGTGTCAGTCATTGTAGCTGTGGAGAAGCTGAAGAAGACTCTGGTTCCTTGTCCGCAGGACTTCCAGGACATTGACTTGAGCATCCTCTTTTCCCTCATCTTTGATGAAAGTAAGTAATGCTGATAGCAGACAGTAGATTTCCATGCATGTCCTTCCCATCATCCCATCACTCAGCTGTCAATTAAACTCCCCTAAAGTTGTAGCTCTTTAGAGGTAGATGACCCGATGCTTAGAAGGAAACAAAGAAGCCTAGAAACCAAATCTATCACCTCTTTAGCTAAAATTATTCCTAAAAGAAGAACTTGACAATGACTCACATTTGCTATTCTCATTGATTCTCAGCGGGCTTTCCTTTATGTTATCTCCTGCAAACCTTACAACCTCGCCGTTGGCCTAGTGTTCTTGCCAATACCTTTTATCATAGACAGTCCAAGATCAGCAATAACAGCTGAAGCTTGAACGTCTTATGGCTCCAGAGCCACTATTCCAATAAAACTGCGACTGTATACGTGCAGTGTTCTCCAAGAAATCTTGAGGTCCCTGCTGCCTCATGTCCTTAGCATGTATGCTCTCCTAACTAAACAATGTATGTGTTTCATGTTTCAGAACCCATCAGCTCTGGTGAATGGGATGACCTTTTAGAGTGTGATGCGCATGTAAAGTCAATCAACTGCAAGCTTGAAGATTCTGAAGAAAAATCCCTGGTGTTGTCTGACCCACAGGTGCTGAAAGCCATCCACCTCCAAAAACATAATCAGCATCAAGAAGGTAACTAGAAACATCTTGGTTTCCCTTCTTGGCCTCTGGGTAGCTTGCTAATTCTCTACGTTGTGAACAAAGTAGAGCATTAAGGCAAATTACCAACAAAAGTGAAAAGAACATGTAAACTTTTTTTGATCCTAGCAATGATACCAGTTTGATTGCCTTACCATGTTGATTTGTTAGTAAGAGGCATGACCCTGAGAAATGAGACCACCCAGGACTACTGTCTAGTCCTATCACTCAGGGATAATGCAATGTCAATGCTTCCAACGTATGGGATCATTTGACGGACATTCTCTAACTGCTTCTGGGTTCTATTTTCCTGTTGTTGAGGTTGAAACTAGAATGGTGACGAGATCATGCGGTCATCCCATTCCTGGCCCTGCTCCCTTGCCCTAACATCTTACATGCCCATTATCAGATGGTTGCTTATTGGAAGACTTTATTTACCAGCAGGAACTTATATCTCTGCTGCAACTGGCAACTGTTTCAAGTGTAGTGAGCCCATCCTAAACTATGGGGATTATGCTACCATGGCTGAAGCCGGCATGCAGGCACATAGGCAAGGGAGCAGCTGTCAGGAACAGCTTGTTCTGCTCCACGGCTGCAGTCCATGGAAGGCAGCATCACCCAGAAAAAAGCTTCCTGCTCTCAGCCAGGCCAGGATAATCCTGTTTCTTTAGAACTATGTAGTGAGAGTGGTCCTGAGGCCTCCAGCCTAAACTGTTGTGACTGTAGAAGATCAAAATGAGTTTCTCTCTTTGGAGCCACTTTTCCCAGCTAAGACCTAAGCTCTTCCCATTTACTGCTCTGTGTTCCTGAAAAGCACTGGTGCCTGATTTCTTTCAGAAGCCCAGCTTTACTGCTTTCTTGCCTTCCACTTTGATCACATTGTTCTACTCGAGCAGTTGGGCATACTGACAGCCAGTGACAAGATGGCTTCCTTCCAAATTTAAGAATGAAGCCCCCATTCATTCTTCATTAACACTACTAAAAGTCTCTAAGAAACCTTTAGACCTTCTGTGGGGAAACTGAATCAACCAACCAACCCTACTATAGTTTTGAGAAGCCAAGTTATCCTGTCTTTTAGGCTAAAGGAAACTTCCTGTGGGTTCCCACAGAGGATGCTAACTTGTACAAATACTGTTATGTAAGGCCCAGGGGTGATATTGACCCTGCACTACTGGGTCTCTAATCACAAGGTCCCTCTCTTTTCTTCAGTGGTGATCACCATGAGCATTGTGCAAGGAGATGAAAATAGTGAGAAAACACCTGTGGTCTTGAGCCTCAAGGGAAAGAATCTGTACCTGTCCTGTATAATGCAAGACAATAAGCCCACCCTGCAGCTGGAGGTAAGTGGGTGTCCCCTTTGAAACACCCTTAGCCATGACTTCATCAGACAACCACCTTCTCACCACCCCACCCTCAATCCCAGGAAATCTGAGAGCAAGTCTATTTGACAACTTTCCATAAGTGTAAATAAATTTAATGTAATTTTAAATATATGCAACCTTCACTCCCACCACAGAAAATTAAATTATTTTGCTGATGTTTTATGGCTTACCATTTTTACCATCCCAACAAACTATAACCCAACTATAATGTAAACCAGTGTTAGGATTAAAAGGATTATATATTGTCAGCATTACTCTTATATTAGAAATGACACCTAAGGGAATTAACTAAAGGAACCTGCCATCATCACCGTACCACCCCCAAGATTTCTCCCCCATCACCTCCAACTTTCCAAAAAGCTTCATTTCCAAGCTGATGTCACTCTAGACAGGGCCAGGAGGAAAATTATAATCAAAGTCCCTGGAATTTTACATTTTAGTTTAATTTTCACTTTTTTTTCTAAAATTCTCACCTACTTTGTGCTTCCCGGCATTTGGTACCACGCTTCAGAAAATGAAGGGCTGTTTCAGTAACCACACAGAAAGTCGGGGTTGTAAAGATGACTCACAGGTCTGATTCCTGGTCCAGCAATCTGCTCATCAGTTTTTTCCCTAGCCAGTCCTGAGATCACCTTTACTATAGTATCTTTGTCCCTTCCCTCACTAAAATTCTTATTTCTATTTGTCACAGAAGTTAGACCCCAAGCATTACCCAAGGAAGAAGATGGAGAAGCGATTTGTCTTCAACAGAACAGAAATCGGGACAAAGCTGGAATTCGAATCTGCCCTGTTCCCCACCTGGTACATCAGCACCACTAGGGCAGAAAATATGCCTGTCTACCTGGGAAAGAATGATGGCAGCCAGGACCTCACTGACTTCACCAAGCTACCTGCCTAAAGAGAGTAACACTTGAAAGTCGATACATGCTGAGCATAGACTCAGCCCAAGACCTAGAAGAAGCCTTTGAGCATGGCTGCAGGCTGGACTTCCTTTGGGTAGTACTCTTGCCCACCAGCCAAGAACAGCTGTCTTCTCCCATGGACAATCTACATACCTTCTGCTGAGGCTGACCTCTCTCACCTCTCCTACCTACACTCTCTTCTTTCTTCAGCCTGACAGAAACCATGACACCTTCAGTACAAAGAAACCCTCTGTCCTTCACACCCAGGCTCTCATGAGCAACCACTTAACTATTTATTTATTTATTTATGGATTCGTTGTCTACTTGATTTCATTCAAAGGGCCCAAGAAGCAGCTGTGTCTGTGAAGAGCCCAGTTTTTAATATCTATGGAATTTATTTAATGTGGACTGCTGCCTTGTCTTTAAACCAAGTCCTTTCATTGAGGCTGAAAAAATACATAAACTCAGTTTATTTAAATGGGGATATTTATGAATAAGGATGTATGATCACTATTGTCTCAATAGTTATGAAATAAATGTCACTGTGGAAAAAAACTACCTGGTAATTGACTTTTCTTGGATTTGATACAGAAAGGTAAAATGGGGCTGTGAGAGTTCTTTTTGGGGGGAGCTGAAAACCCACTTCTCATCAATGAATGTTGTGAAAAAAAAAAAAAAAAAAACAGAAACATCTCTAACCATCAAAGACAAATCTCCTCACCTGTCTCTTTCATTTCTGTTTTTCCACAAAAGAATATTCAGTGTACAAGGTTCATCTGAAAAACAGACTCAGCTGCAGCACTTTAGGGAGTAGGGCTGGTGGAAACAACTGCCGATGATTTCTCTGCTCACTTATTCAGCAAACATCTATTAAGCAAATGCTACGTAGGGACTAGGAGTACAGAGATGACAAAGTTCCTAGTTAGACAGGGGAGGCAGTAAAACAAAAACAAGGCAACATGACAAATAGAAGTAAGATAAAGTACAAGAGGAGTAGCCAGAAGGAATGATGAGATCTGCGGGAAGGACAGAGGCTCAAGGTGGATAACAGATGAGTCAGGCCTAAAAAGATAAGCAAAAGTTTGCTGGATAGAAAAGAAAAGAAAGGGCACTCCAGGTAGAGAGAGGAGCATGAACAAAGGCATGAGGATATAAGAATGAATGATGCAAACGTGAACGTTTAGGCCAACCCTTAGTGGCATAGTTGACAGATTGTCAGATGACATGCTGGAAGCCACATGGTGACCATGATTTGACTCCTAGACTGGTTGGTCTAATACATGCCAGGCACATGCAGGAGGACTGCAGGAAAGGGAATGCAGTGTGACCAGACTCTGCGGAGGGTGCTTGTCTCTCTCTCTTGAATACATCCATGATGAATAAAGAAGTTTGTTGTTTTGTTTTGTTTTGTTTTGTTTTGAGAGAGATTTTTACTATAGGGCACATGCACTCACCAAGACACAGAGAGAGACAGAGAGATAGAAAGCAAAATATCACCCCCCAGAGGGGGAGGGCCATGCTGCAATCCTTTCGCCTCCATTCTCCTCTCAGGATTTTGGACATGCACACACATGTGCCCAGTGTGAGTTTTAAGCAGCCAGGTCTGAGACTGGAACCAAGGTCTACTATGCGGGAGTCCAACAACATAACCATTATGTCATCTGCTGGTCCCAAATAAAGAAGTTTAAAGAAGAAGAGGAGGAGGAAAAGGAGGAAGAAGGAGAAGGAGGAGGAAGAAAAGAAGAAGAGAAGAAGAAGAAATAAACTTTCAAAATTGCGGAAGTCACCTGAAGCAAAACCAAAACAAAAAGCAAACCACAAAAAAAAGATATTTGTAACGCATATCCCAAAGGGATAACCTGCTTAACATTTAAAGAGCTCTCTAAAATCATTAGAAAAAATAAAAAATTAATAAAGTCAGGGCCAGCAGGTGGCATGGTGGTAGAAGCACTGGACTCCCACATGGTCAACTGTGGTTCAAGTCCCAGACCTAGCAGCTTACTTTCTCACTTTCTTTGTCTCTCCTCTGGTGAGCACCTGTCCCCTATAGCAAATTAAATTACAATAACAAATAAAATTTTTAAAATACATCATTCTTTTTTAAAAAAAAAATTAATAAAGTAGTTGTGCAGGGGTGGGAAAATATATGGAGATAGAGATAGGAGCAAGCCATTTCTCCATATACTTTTTTAAATTTACAGTTAATCATTGTATGTCTTTACAGCATATGACATGGGCTCTCAAAACAGAAATGCATTGCATGTCAAGCAAGTCAAAGATATTACCATACACGGTAACTTTCCATTTTTGTATCTGTTAATGCTGTTTTTCCTGAGTTCTTCCCTCCCATCCCCAACTGCCCACACCCTCCTATACAGTCTCTGGTATCTACACTTGCTGTCTCTGCTATTACACCTTCCAGTCTTTCCATTTATGCCATAAAATTACAGACATTCACTATATATTGAACAGGGACATACAAAGTCAGTCTTTTATGGTCTGGTTTGCATTAAATCTTCACTTAGCATTAAATCTCCTACATTCACCCACGTCGTGTCAAATGACAGGATCTCATTATTTTTTATGACTAAGTAGTATTGTTTACACAGTTTGATTTTTGAATCATGTGAATATATTACCTATTCAGAAATAAAATAATAATAATACTTTTTTAAAGCCTTTGTCTTAAAAAGAAAAGCATATGCACTTATTGCAGGAAAATAACTGTTAAAGTGTGCTAGTTCTCAGCAGTTCAGTCCCCAATATCTTCTTTTCCTCCTTCTCTGCTCTACAAGATAGGTCAGAGAGGCCCTGCTAAGCCGGCGGCGGCGGCAGAGGCGGGCCGGACGCCAAGGCTGCGTCCGGTCACGGGATGTCCCGGGCCCTTCCAGGCTCGGCGAGTCCCCCCTGGGGCCCTGCTAGGCCGGCGGCGGCGGCGGCAGAGGCGGGCCGGATGCCAAGGCTGCGTCCGGTCACGGGACGTCCCGGGCCCTTCC